TGAACATCAGTTTGTCGATTTGATGATTGTTTTTGACGTTTGCGAAGGATGATAATTTGATAATGAATTGATCGAAAAAATTTATGGAGCATTTGGGTATGTGAAAAGCGTTGGAATTCAAATGTATTCGTCGTTTGAACATTTAACTGAAGCTCAATGATACTTGATTACAACGAATCATATGTTATATGTTTTAACACTATGATTGACGCATACTTGAAATTGGAGAGATCGAATCTGCCATGGTTTTGTTTAAATCCCTAGCAAAAAAAAGAACATTTGTTCTTGGAACGCAATGGTTTTTGGTTTAGCTAAATGTGGTGTGGTAGAAGTTGCTTGAAAGATGTTCGATGAAATGCCTGAAAAGAGATGAGATTTCATGGTTTCTATGATTGATTGGTATTACAAAAACGAGTGTTTCAAGGAATCGTTGGAGGTTTTTTGTATGATGCAAAAGGCAAAAATTAAGCGAAGATGGTGGTCAAAATGTGATTTTGACTTTTGAATGGGAAAATGCTTAAGTGGCACATGAAACTGACTAATATAGGTTATAGGGACTAAAAAGACAGGTCACTTACGAGATTATTCCCTCAAGAAGCACGAAAATAAATTAAGGGACTGAATGGGTAAATGTGCAATACATTGTAGGGTTAATGTGTCATTTCCCCTAGGATTTTTCTAACAAAATCTCATCAATAAGATGTCTAAGGTGTTTTTTGTTTTTTCGAAACGAAAACGTCTAAAATCTGCGGACCATGTCTGTAACTCTCTACAACAGAAGATGTGAACCAAACGGTTGTAGTTTATAATAAGAAGTTTGTTTGTGTTTTAGTGTCTGCAGGTTGTTACAATAAACTGAATAAATAAATTGATTTCACAAACTTAAAATAGTTTTTCAACACCGAATTTTTAATTATTATAGTGTTACAACACTGAAATAAAATTCATACAACCAAATTAGTCTTACAATAATACTTTTAGTCTTACAATAGCAATTTCATTTAAAATAATTCATTTCATATTTTGCATCAACTGCTCAACAGTTTCATCTTGTAATTGGGTCATATATTCACGATCTGGTGCAATATCATGTGTTGGAACCTCGTTTTAATCATATGTGAATCAAATATAAAGATCATTATGATGATATAGTTTTTAAAGACGTTTATATAAAATAATTAAATATAATATTTGCTAAGTAACAATACATAAAATTTGTTAATTTAGCAAACACTATGTTCATTTTGTAAAAATTTTGAAGACGATGGTTATTTTTTCGGTTAGCTTCAATAAATTTGGTAATTTTAGTGATTAACTTTATAATATATTAATATTTGGTTATAGATAATGTAACACAAAAAAAAATATTTATATGAAATTTACCAAATGGTTTTGAAATTATGTAAAATATACTCGAATTGTTTATAATATCTTTTACAATACTATTAAAATAATAAACATGTTTAAAAAATTAAAACAAATCTATGTTGAATAATATTACTTAAAAGTATTGTGAGAAGTAGATTGAAGAGGGGTTCAGTATTATGTCACACAGCATACGCGCATCACAGCACATGTGCATCAGTTTTTAAGTTTGAACTCTTTTAAAAAACAAACAGTTGTAAAAAGTCAAGTGTTGTGCGGTGCAGCCAAAAATGATCAGAGGTTGTTTTTCTTTAAAAACAAAGAGCCCCTAAAACATCTTAAGCAATAACAAAACAAATAAAAAATTTTGAATTAAAATGATATACAAATCATTTGTAAAAGAAATCTTAAGTTTTTTTTTTCCTCTCCTTGATGTTCAACGGACCACACACATCGTGCATGCCTTTCCATCCGCTTAAAAAAAAGTTTTACTTATTTAGTATTATATTCGTGTGGTGCCTTTCCAACTGCTTAAAAAAATTTACTTAATATAGGAGTAGTAGACCTGGGAAAACTTGGCACGACACGACAACCCGACACGAAATTAGCAGGTTTGGGTAAGAGATTTCGACACGTTTATGTAAACGGGTTGACACGGCACGACGCGATAATTAAACGAATAGGGTTAGGGTCAATACTTTCAACTCGAAGTCTTCAACTCGAAGATGACTCGAATATGTCCCGTTTAATTATATATAATTTTTTATAAATTTCATATTTTAATAAATATTATACATTTGTAGTGGCCCAAACTCAAGAATTAAAAGTAAAATTCAAACTTTTAAAGTGACTTAATTTTACTCATCCTCACTACCTATCTCATTTGCTTCTCAACTCTAAATCTTTCCATTTTGCTTTCTAAAGTTACTATAATTTTTTTTTTCCGTTCCACCTCCCAACTCCAGTATTTCACTTTTTCATTTTTTTTCCTCCATGACTCTTACTTTTCAACCTTTAAAATGTTTCAACCCGACATGACACAACATATTTATAAGGTTTAAACCTTAACCCGAAATCCAACACGAAATCGACATTAAAATAAACGGCTTGACACGACACGATAATTAAACGAGTCAGATTAGGATCAAACACTCTCAACCAGTGGCGGATACAGAACCAAAACCAACACCAAAACCAACGGTGGGCCAAAATATATAAAGGAAAAATATAATAAAAATTAATGAAAGAATATGATTTTTTTTTTGTTTTTTCTTGGTTTTTTTCAACAAGAATAGGTGCCAAAGAAAACTTAACTGAGGCCAATTGTTCAATTACATAACAAAAACTTTTTTTTGCTAAAATTTCCCATGGGATCTATTTTTAAGTGGGGTCATACACCCCACTTGCGATGCACTAAATCTGTCACTGCTCTCAACCCGTTCACGTCTTGATACGGCACGAACCCGACACGTTTGCGAGGTCTAATGAGTAGAAGTTAACAAATCCGAAAAACTCACTACCTTTCTTCTTTTATATGTATGCCGCTAGAAAGCTTGTTAAAACAAAATATGCACTTTGAAATTTAAACAACTTGTCATAATAAAACAATAAAAATAAGAGTTGCTTAATATACATTTGAAATGATAGCTAATCTTTGATTTTTCCGATAGGTCAAAACACTTGATAATGCAAAGGAGATTTCAGCCGTTCAAAAAATAGTAAGGTCCTGTTTGAAATGTGTCTGACCGAGTAGAGTCAGACGTTTTTGGCTGACTCGGTCAGCAAAAGCCGTTTGATAGTCGAATTGTGGCATCTGAGTCGGTAAGAAAGAATCTGATTCGGATAGATACAGGAAAATAGCTGACTGAGAAAAGTTTCACCTTTACTCTTGCCCTACGTTTTCTTTCAGCGCTTTCATCCTTCTCTTTCTTACAACGCCTCCTTCTCATCGATTCTGCGTTTTCCCCCGCCGACGATCTCCTCCACATCCAGCCTCCATCGGCAATCTCCTGCCTCTTCATCAGGTACGATCCCTTGCCTCTTCATCGCCGATCTCCATCCTTCTCTTTCGGATTTTGATTTCTTTTTTGTATGATTTCTTCAACTGATCATAATATAAACATAATCTAAACATAACCTGGTTTGAATTTTGGATTTTGATTTGTTTCTTGTTCTGAAATTTTGATTTTTGAATCCTGGATTCTGATGTTCTATTGAATTTTTGTTCAAAAAAAATTTGTTGTTTTATTCATGTTTGATGTTGTTTAAAAGTTCCGATTTTTAGTTGTTTTTGTCCATGTTTGCTGCAGAATTTTGTTGTTAAATTGTAAATCAGAATTTTTAGTTGTTAGGTGAGAAATAGCAATTTCCACTTCCAGGTTTCATGATTTTTTATGGGGGCACATTAGTCTTTTGTCTAGAAAAGTAGACAACAGTGCAGGGGAATCCATCCAAGAAAATGAGTCAGTATTTGACTTTGGATTGCAAAAGATTTGCATAAATAAGATGTCTTCTACCGATGAGTTTGCTGTTTTTGTTTCTATTATGTTCATTTTTGATGTTTCTATTTATGTTCTTTTCATATTAGGAAAATATTGGACTTAAATTGAATTTTTGTTGCTCTAGTGATGAATTTTTGTTCTAGCGATGAGTTTTAGAATTTTATTATTGATTGTTGTTGATTCATACAAGTTTTATATTTTATATTTATATACAACAATATGCATATTTCGTGACATTGTTCATTACAAAAACTTCCTTGCAAATTCTCAACAAATACCCTAGCCGGTTATAGTCTTTACTAAGCAAAGAGTTAGAACATCACCACGTAAATATAAGTCCAAACCATTTGTAAAAATCGACATCAAACAATAATACCATCAGTTGTGTGAGGTCACAATTCACCCAATAGGATCACACCAAATTAATATAAGTGGCCTTAATATAACGACAATAAATGAATAAGTGTAAACATCAACTACACTATATTGTAAAGTTTATGAATAAGTGGAAATATATGTTGTAAAGTTTGAAGCAACTGTCTACAATTGTAAATGGATGCAGGAAACAAAAAGAAGTTAAGAATCTACTATCATAACCATTTATTTATTTAAGGACATCATATTCTTATTATTTGATATTCAGCCAATGTGAGAGAATAAAAGGATAGAAATAACACACACACACACTCACACACACATATATATATATATATATATATATATATATATACAAAGGGTAAAATGGTCATTTTTCATCAGTCAGCACATTCAGTCAGACGTACAATCAAACAACATGGTTTCTTACTCAGTCATGATTTCTTACCAAACAGACCTTTCCGAGTCAGCACTTTCTCAGTTAGTAACTATCAAACGGGGCCTAAATATAGTTTTCCAGATAAAACATCAAAACACTAATTAATAACAAAAATTCAAAACATAAATTAATATTTAACCCATTCATAATAATAATAATAATAATAATAATAATAATAAAATTGAAGAAAAATACAGTATTAAAAACCCAAGAAATGTAGGTAACTTTTTTCTCAAGTGTCAGAAAAATGATATGAATTTGCAAATAAATCCTTATAAAATAACCCAAGCAACAAATTACAAACAAAATTTTGAAAGTAGCTAGTTTTCAAGTGTTGGAAGGATTTAAGTCTTGATAATGCAACTAACATTCAAAGGTTGAGGGGGCTTATGTGCAAAAAATAGGTAAGTCGAAACCACATAAAAGAAAGCATCAAAACAAAATTGATAAAATGAAAAAAGTTTGAAGAAATACAAGAAACTGTAGAAAACACATAGATTGATCCTCATGGCATAAAGGTAAAAGTAAAGGTTGTGTGATTGTAGAATTATGATATTAAGAGTTTCTATCACCAATCCATCCATCGGTTGTGTGATTGTAGAATTATGATATTAAGAGTTTCTATCACCAATCCATCCATCCATCCCTAATGTCGTCTCTGTTGACAACACAACAGAAGAGAAGAGATTAAAAAATAATTAAGAAATAAATAATAGAAAAAGAAGTAAAACAATGACGTGGTAAACTTTTTTATACCTTGTGCCTCTTCTTCAACTTCCTTCCTCCAGCATCTGAATCCATGAAGGATGTTTGACCTTCATCACCTTCTTCTAGAGGTAAGCCTAAGGATTTAATATCATCATAGAAACCATCAGCTAGACCTGCCAGCCTGTACAACAAACAAACATCCACCATCAAAATAAGTTATATTTTTCATTTTTTTTTATTTAACTAAATGACTGACTGTATTTGTATTTGTACCCATTTCTTGAGTTGCGCATCTGTTTTAGCTTCTTCTTTTCCATACTTGTAAGAGGAGCACGGGTGAAGAGGTCTTCTTCCCTCCTTGCACGTTCTTCCATTTTTGCCTTATATCTCCTCACCTCACTATCATCTTCAGTACCAATAACCTCCCTCACCTATAAAATTATAATTTCATCAAAACCCACCAAACACACACCAAAAGCATTTTTTATTAAAAAAAAAAAAAAGATAACCTCTTGGGGTCTTCCCTCGAGATCATTGATGAGATCTCTAGCATATTCGTTTTGTTCGGATTGTCGCAAGGCTTGTTTCTCTTTTCTCGACACATTTCTCTCTTCTTTTGACTTTTTCATTGACGCTGGAGCTATCTTCGGAGGTCGATACAACCCATCACCATCCTAATTCATTCATTCAAAAATATAAATCATTACATACAACATGTATATAATATTACAACCTCATAATGATAAAGAAAAATAAGTAACCTCGGGAGCAACTTTGTCTATAAGCATGTCTGGGTTTGGACGAAGCTTCAAAGAATCATCTGAAGCAACCGGTTTGTTGGGATCTACATCCTCCATTGGAATTGGATTCCCATTTGTTAGGCTTGTAAGTTTTTTAATTTGGTAATTCAGCTTCTTGTCAATTGGGCGGATCTGGATGCACATTCATTGTATTTGTAATTTTGTATAACTATTAATTCAAGAAAAAACCATTTATTGAGTCAAAAAGGATAAACAAAATGAGAAGCTGACCTTCTCCAAAAACAAACGTGTCTCTAAAAGACTATGGACAAGAGGATGTCCTTGAATTGGAAGTCCTTTGGCCTTGCGAAGCAAATAATATACAAGAGACTGACAGTAATTCAAAAGAAGCAAATGCTTTGCCTCAAGATAGCTCATCCCATCTGATGTTGGGTATACACCTGACTTTACCTAAAGATCAAAATATCATCATATACATAGTTACATTTTACCTCTCCATTTTTACTTAAACAAATTAAAGGAAACTTGGCACAAATAATCAAGTATTGGAGTTTCAAACCTTTGAAGTCAAGACATGAACTTTAGCTCTGAGATCATCTAACCCACTCTTTATATCTTTCAACACTGTAACTAGTTGAGGAGCTTCTCTGGCAAAAAGACAAATTCAAAATAATAATTAAATAAATAATGCAACCCGTAAAACTTAACATCATACCTTTCTATTTTGTCATTATCACCAGACAGCTTTGTATCTTCCATACCCTCTTTCTTCAGCCACTAAAACTTCCAAAGCTACAAGATATGACTGAGTTTTAGAAAAATCTCAACAAAATTTAAAAAAAAAAAAAAATGGTAACAACTACTAAAAGCATAAAGGCATGGAAACGTGTGTTTGGCAAACACTGTCAATCATATAAATGTTTTGTTCGCATAACATTAGATTTGATGATTGATAGAGAGAGACTGAAACCCAAAACATCATTTAGTCACACGAAAAGAAAACAAAAGGTTTTGTTTCCTTCAAGTGCTCAACTTAATGAATCCTAAACATAAACTAATATAGAATTCTAAACTATGTGAGTGAGACCGATTCTTACATGAAAAACATTTATAAAGAAACAGAGGCATAACCAAACCCACGGCACCATAATGATAAAACCTAAATATCGTTTCAGGCAACTCAGATTCAAAATACTAGCTTTTCGGCAACACAAATTATACTGGAAAATATTAATTACTAGAAACCGTGATAAAAATTGGATGTATATAAGGAAATTTTTAACCGAATGTAATCATTCAGACAAACAAACCAGTTAATCCTTTACCAGGGATCCCATAAACAACTACAGCAGGTTAATTTTTTTAGTACCTTCGAGAAACAGAGGTATACAATCAGATGGTTTTTGAACCACAAAATACAAGTAAAAACAGAGGTATACAACCGTTCAAGATGGAAGTGACAACTTAGAAAAGTAACTAATAAGAAGTGAAGAACTAACAACTAAGAACTAGGAAAAGAAGGTGCTTACTTGTCGATTTTGCTACCTTCCTTGTTCCTTCTGAGGACGTGAGGTGCAGCGGTGGTGCACAATAATGCACTGGTGCGACACTGCGAGGCTAAACCTGAGAGAACGAGGTGAGGGTTGAGGGGTTGTTGGTTAGGGTTTCTATTTCTGATGGCTTGAAGCAAATAAACGATTATATTTTCTGTTTCAATAAAATATAGAATATTAATTAAAAATATACAGTTATATAATATAGATGACGGGTCATCAATGGGTCTATTTTTTATCGGTTTCAAACCCAATTGGTTGGGTCGATTTGAAGTGCTAAAACCAAACCCAAAACCTATTTTTTCGGTTTTAAAAAATCAAAACCCAAAACTGACGGGTTAGGATTCGGTTTCGGTTTTGGTTTTCGTCGGTATTCGGGTTTTTGGTTTCGGTTTTGCTCGACCGTAGATATTACAATAGGGATACTACCAAGTACTCTCAGTAATCAAAAAGAAATTGAGCATCTAAATGATTTGCTAGAACAAGCTAAGAGTATGGTTTAAGATTTACACAATAAACTTGAAATAAAAATGGATTTACCACAAAGAAAAAAGATGGAACTACAATTGATAGTCCAAAAGGGAAGAAGTTTGAGTTAATGAATGATATTGAAGCAAAACTTAAGGCCGAAAGGTTGGAAGAAAATATGAAGAGTTACACATTGCAAAGATTGTGTAATGTTGTGGAGGTAAGCTTATTAAGACCCTATTTTTATATAAAGTTGATAACGTGCCCTAGCAAGCCCGAAAAGAGTCGCGCCCGGCCGCGACAGAACGCCTGAGGGCTTAGCGCGCCCAGCAGGACAGACCCAGCGGAGCTTAGCGCCCGCCAGCGCCCCTGAGAGAAGGGCGGTCCTGCAGAAAGGCTCGCGCCCGCTTAGGGCGCCTCCCGTTCCAAGACAAATGATACGATCAAGCGACAAAGCAGACGATCAGGGCATTACTGCCAGAACCAATTGCAACGCTCTGACAGATAGAAGAGCACGATCCTCCAATCAGCTCCCCTGATTCTGTCGCCTCTGGTGATCATGTCTCGTACGGACGATCAGGAGCGTCTAATATAAAAGGCTACACCCACAGCCCCGAAAGGTAAGTCGCCTTCTCCAAGTAATACACACCAAACCCTAGAATACCTAACTGACTTGACCGTCGGAGCGTCTTTCCGGGAGCTCCTCCCGGGAAACGGCTGACGACCTTCTCTTCATTGTGACCTTGCAGGAACGGCGAAGCAGTCGTTTCCGGAGTTCAAACAAAACCTGAGATCAAGGTCGCATCATTTGGCGACATCTGTTGTGTGACAAAAAACATAACCAAAAGCACAATGTTCATCAGAAAGAAATGGCATCTGGCGACACCGGAGGTACCAGTGGGATACCAGCCAGTCCCACTCGGTCAATGGCGTCGTTAGAAGAAACGTCACCACCCATAGTGGTCGCCAGAGAGGTGCCGGATAAGGGTGGTTCGGTGGTAACCGTCGAACCACTAGATAGACAACAACAACCGGTCGGCGAGGGACACTTTTCCTCCGCCGCCGCCCTAACAACAATCACTCCGATGCAGACGTCTCAACCACCGCTTGCGCCGTCAACGGCAAACACCCATGTCGCAACACCGGTCCCACCCTAACAGCCGATGCCAATCCAGATGACAATGCCACAACCCACATTTTTTCAAACGCCGCCATTGGGCCAACTGGCAACGGCGCAACCGGTAGCTTCTCATATACCACCACTATTTAATCCAGTGGTGAGAGAGCAACAAACAACCCTTCAAACAATGCTTCCACTAAATCAGACGATCGACATTCAACCAACATTCCACCCATCGCCGATAATCCAGACACCAGCGGAAGCACAAGCAACTCCCTCAATGTCACCGCTGGCCCAAGCAATGGCAACCCAAACACCGGTTTTCTTAACATCACCGCTTCCGGCGAGTGCACCCCTCATTCCCGCAAATTCCCATTACCAACAAGCTACACCGAACAACCTACACACCCAAAACCTGCCCACGTCATCCAACCACCTGTTAACATTACCATTTTTGCAACAAGCGTTCTATGGCCCAAACCCTGCTTATTATACACCTTACAATAACTCAATCGTGCAACCGCATACCGTAGCCCAGCAGTACAATTTTCAAGGCATGCTGCCTATTCCAAACCAAGACTGTCTATCATGTAGCGTGACATCTCCATTCGCCAAAGAACTGCTAGACTACGAAATTCCAAACACAGCTAAACTCCCCAATCTTAATACCTACAATGGAACCACGGATCCGGACATCCACATCGACACATACGAATGGACGATGACGTCGCTCAAGCTGGACGAACGATTCTGGTGCACATACTTTCTGACAACTCTGGACAGAAACGTCGGAACATGGTTCAAAACGCTCCGCCCAGGAAGCATATACAACTTTGGACAGCTGAAATACCTATTTCTCACAAACTTCATGCAATTACGGAAGTATAAAGGCGACTCACACTCCATTATCGACTGCAAACAAAAAGAAGGGGAAACGGTAAGGGAATATTTCACGAGGTTCACGAACGCTACGCTGGATGTTCCACGACACGACGAAGGCCTAATAGCAGGAGCCTTCACGTGGGGACTCCTGCCGAGCCCTCTATCCTAAAAGCTCATGGGCAAGAAACCGTAGACACGGGCCGAACTGAAAGAAAAGGTAGAACAATATTTGAGACAAGAGGAAGGGGAGGCAATGAAACAAGCATACCTGAATGCTATGACCACCCCCGCAAAGCGCCACAGCCCGCCTCACGCAAAAGCACAAGGCGGGAACAGACATTTTGGCCGAGGGAAACGCTTGCAAGGGCGTTTCAGGCCATTCACCAGAGATGACAAGCGGGGCCGACGGCCAGACATCTATGTGGTCACAGACAAGCAGCAGCCAGCGAAAGTAGCGAAGGGACGGTTCTGCGAATACCATAAGAGCAAAACGCATGACACCACCAACTGTTCGGTGTTTAAGAGATAAATAGAGGAAAAGCAGCTAAAGGGAAACCTCATCGAGGTAGCACGAAGCCTTCGCGCCAAATTTGACGCCGAAAACGCTAAGTATGAAACAAAATAGCACGCTCAACCCAGGGAAATCCTCATGATACGAGCTAAGCGGGAGCGACATGACGAACAGGACGACCTAGCAAGACTCACCACGACAATGCAAGGGCTCACATTTTCAATGAGAGACCCTCGAACCAAAGGCTGGAAGGGAGACAACCCACTCATAATCCAAGGGTCCATTAGAAACGTAACAATCCATAAGGTGTACATCGACACAGGCAGCTCGGCGGACATCATCTACGAACATTGTTTCCGTCTCCTCCCAGACATATGAAAGGAGAACCTCAAGCCCGCCACATGAAGGCTCTTGGGTTTCACAGGGCATAGCTTGTGGCCCATAGGCACAATTCACCTGCCTCTCACGCTGACAAGTCACGACAAGCAGCGAAGGAAGACGGCTCTAATCGATTTCGTCGTAATACGACATCCGGCAGAGCATAACATCATTCTGGGAAGGACAACTCTACTCAAGCTTGGAGCAGTCCCGTCAACAATGCACGGGATCGTAAAATTCAGCACCACCGAAGGGCCAGGCACAGTCCTCGCAACCCCACCAAGGGAACTGCAATGTTTTGAAGTCATGCGACCGGCAGAAATAGCACAAGAAAGCAAAAAAGGCACAGGTCGAGTTAACAAACGGGAAGGAAATCATCCATGAAGAACACCTGGATCAGCCGGTCAGAGTCGGCAGCAACCTCCCTGAACCAGCTAGACACGCGTTGATCAACCTTTTAAAACAATATAAACATGTGTTCGCATGGACCCCCACCGACATGATAGGGGTAGACATGGAAGTTATAGAGCACATGCTAATGATCAAGCCGGGCGCAAAGGAAGTTAAGCAGAAGAAGAGGGTTCAAGGGGGAGACCGCAATAGAGCAATTAATGCTGAGGTAGCCAAGCTAACAAAGGCAAGGATCCTAAGGGAAGCGATCTTCCCAACCTGGATTGCCAACCCTGTTATGGTAAAGAAGCACGATGGCTCGTGGCGCATGTGTGTCGACTACTCTGATTTGAATAAAGCATGCCCCAAAGATTGTTATCCTCTGCCAGAGATCGATCAGAAGGTAGAATCGCTGCATGGGTCCAAGTTAAAATGTTTCTTGGACGCGTACTGTAACACCAGTCAAATTTAGGTCAAAATTTAACTATTCTAAAATCTTATTTGGGTTAAATGAAGTAGTAGATATTGTGGCAAGGTTTTTGGAAATATATAAAGAACACTGAAATCCGAGTTATAACGAAGAAGTTATGACATGTCGAAGTTTCGCGACAGATTCGGCACAACGTTGTTGGACGTAATAAGTGAATTTTACGATAGAGCGATATTTAGTCTTAGCGATCTAAACGAAAGTCGTAGAATACGTTAAACTGAGAATGTGCATAAAAAGAACGTCTAAATCTGACTTCGTATGAGGAAGTTATGATTTTTCGAAGTTTCGACTTAGCGGTATGCAGCCCAAAGTTCGAATATGAGATCGAGTGATTTCTAGCCGAAACAATCTAAACGAGAATCGATTATCTCGTCAATAATAGTCCAGCGGTGAAAAGACAGACGAAAACGGATGTCAGATGAAGGAGTTGTGAATTTCTAACGGAGTTTTCCTGTCCCGGCCTACTAAAAATAATATAATAAAAAAATAAAGTCAGAATTAGCCAACGGAGTCTTAACGAGAGTTGTAGAGCATAATCTCACCTACGCGTGGATATAAAGAACGTCGAAAATGGAGCTTGTATGCGAAAGATATGAATTTCTGAAGTTCAGGACGCGAACCCCGACACTGTGTCAGAGTTCACGACGTGAATACAGTGTTCACGACGTGAACTAAGTATTAATGACTTCTGGAGCCTGACAGACGCAAGTTGCGATGACGTACCTGATGACTACTGAACTCACGACGTGAATATTTGAGATTCACGACGTGAATCCAGAAAAATGACCCTATAAATAGAAATCGAAGGTCTCGGGTTTATGCTGCTCAACTCTACTTCCCTTTCCACTTTTACTCTGTGTTAAGCATCCCGATACTACCCCGACGCCCCGGTTACGTGTCGAAGCCCTGACAGAAGCCCGAAGTTCCCAATATTTCCGAGAAATCGACGTCTTTCCGGTCGAAGTGCTGCCCGAGCAAAGTATCGTTTTCATCAAATCGTCACTTCTACCAAGTGAGTTCATACCCCTATCACTACACTTTCAAATACTTTTAAATGCTTTTAAACACTTTTAAGGGGGGATACAAGTAAACACACGGTTAAACTCGTGTGAAAACATCAATCTTTTGCTATACTTTCCATACTATTGTTATAACTATCATATGAAGTTGTTAACATGCAAAACATCACACATCACACCTTTACCCTCATGGGATACAATATGTTTTATAAATAGAAATATATTTTATCTATATGTTTGCACACTACATCATACCAAGGGTAACCTTTTCAACTATAACATTACGTTTATACAAAGAAAATACATATCGTTATTATGCCTTTATCAATACTGTAGAAAGGGTAATCATTTTGGACATAAACATATACATTTCAAAATACGTGACTTAATGGAGAATATGTGAGTCATTCGTCTTCATCGTACCTATCAAGGTATACAAGAAAGCCCTGGTTTATAACTAGAGTCTCCGTCCGGAGAACGTGATAAGTGTGTATAGATCTATACGGGACTGATGATCCCGCGCCCTGACTGTTAGCTACAGTACGCGGGGTGACAAATATCATAACATTTCGATGCCTGAAGAACGTCGCTACAAGCAAATCCATCATAGTACGGTTATGAAAACTCACAGGATAGACAATTATTATGGTATTATGTTTTTACAGGAAAAGTAATATTACAGTTATTTTTACGTGAAAATACAAGCTTCCTATAGTTTTGTTTACTAATAAAACTATACATCATCATTTTAAGTATGACATATTTACTTACAAGTTACAGTCTTGGACATTTAAAACTGCTTTTCAACTATAAGAAAATATCGGATTTTCTGGTCAATACATTCATTTTATACAACATCGATTCATAACTCATTTTATAAGAAGACATCGGTCTTGATTCATAGTAGACTACAACTCAACTCATGGAAAATATAGGATTTTCCGGGATAAACATTATCATTTTACAAGTAAACGATTTACAATTTAACTTTCTGGAAACAAATACGATTATTTATTTCAAAGCGGCATTCTTTAAGTAAAAGAACTTATACAATTTTTGTCTTAAGGTACTAAGACTACATTCCATTCAACTAATAAGAAAATATCGGATTTTCTGGAAAACAAACGCGAACTTTCGAATGGCATGCATTTACTCAAATAACTACTTATGAGCTCACCAACTTAATTGTTGACATTTTTTCTTTGAAATAACTTGTATTCTCAGTAAATCGCTAAACACCAGGTTAGCAACTACTTTTGGGGACTAATGCTCTGGCATTAGTAACATCTTTTGGAGCATCATATTGTATTTGACTTTCGAAACATGTAATACAACAATCATGTAAACTTTTCGAATATATATTATGGTGGTGTGTACTTTCTTTACTATTCAATTGTTATGATACTG